GCTGCGCCGCCTTGAGCGCCACCTCGCGGTTGTTCCTGCGCAGCGTGGCGTGGATGAGACTGTCGGGCCTCTGGGCCGCGCCCCGTCCGGGCACAAGCGGGCCGGCGATTTCGGGGTACGGGGGTGGGTCTCCTGTCGGGATGGAGTAGCGTGGGACCGTCAGGCGGTTCAGGGTCGCACTGGTGCAGGGCTGGGGGACCTTCTTCTCGGTGGCGGTGAGCCTCAGCGTGGCCGAACTGCCCGGACCGGGGAGGGTGTAGGTGTTCTGGGAGCAGAGCATCCGTGTCCGAGGCCGGCACACCTCCTCCACGTTGCCGCTGCTGTCAAAGGTGGTGATCCTCTCATAGCCCAGGGGCGTCTGGTAATGTGCCACGGTGGAGTACAGCGAGAAATCGCCCTTCTTCAGGCACGTGTCCACCGGGGGCTGCGGGGGCGGCAGCGGGGGCGGCGGCGCTGCCGTGGTGGGGGCAGCAGGGATGGTTCCCGGGTAGGGGGGTGGGGGGTTCATCTTCGCCACCTGGACCTCCTGTGGGGCACTGAACACCACTGCGTCCCCTTCGGCAGCCAGCTGCGGCACTGGCCGCAGGGCCTTGGCCGACTTCTGCAGGTGCTCATGGTCCCGGTCTCCGTGGTCCACCACCGACAGCTGGATCGCCCCCTGCACGGGCGGCGGCAGGGACAGCTGAGCAGGGTTCGGGATGATGCGGCCCATCTCCACACCTCCGAAGATCACCTGTCCAGGGTTGGAGTAGCGGTTGGAGACGGGGTACTGGGTGGCACTGTCGCTTCCCTGCTCCGATGTCCCCACTGCCGTGGTCTGATTGGTCAGGACGTCCAGCTGCACATTCTGGTTGGCCAGCAGGGACTGCACCAAGCCTATGCTCTGAGTGGGGGACATAGCCTGGGCCGAGCTGTGGATGGGTGCGATAGGGATGTTCACTGTGCACGGCGGGTTGTTCTCGGGCACACCAGAAGCTCCCGTCACTGGAAGGAAAAGAGAAAAATGAACTGCTTCCAGAACAAGGCCGTGAAACTGGGTCAGAATAAGTGATACAGCGACTAATCAACTCATCCAGTCCTTTTGCTACAAAATGCAATTGCTGTAGATGGAGATGAGTTTGCTTGGGGAAGCTAGACCTTTCACACAAGTTATACACAGTCCCTCTAAGGTTTCTGGAAGGACACAGGCAAAGCTTTTCAATGAATATACTTTCGCACCTTCCGAATTTGGTACCTAAATGGTACCATGGCTCATAACTTAACGTTGTTGTTTTTTTTTAATTTTTATTTATTTTTATTTTTTAATACTTAACTGTTTAAAGATGCTTTTTTACCATGAATTCATAAAACGGCCCACTCTTTTATGCAAGAAGAGAACTATGGTATATAGCATGACACTCCACTGAGCACTCATAATGCCTAGGGTCCTGAGTAGGTTTATCCACAATTATGGATTGGTTAATATGGGAAGTGTTATGTAGCAGATGTGTATGTGAAACTTGTACGTAAATTAAGACTGTAAATAGAACCATGTAAAATGTAGTGGAGATACCAATGAAAAGAATCTTCCAGCAAATAAGCATTATTAGGGAAGGATCATTTCCTAACATTTATCTGCTTTTCAGCATTTCAAACAGTATGTAAGGTACAGTACTGTACCTCTGTAAAACTATATCCTATTGTACAAAGAGGGAATTTAATGAAGCATGAATGTGAGCAATGATCTCCACACCACAGGCAGGTGCTCAGAACCATGTGTTATACTGCCTGTCTAAAGTATCATCGAGCACTGGCAAGTTTGCTTATTTGGGCCTGTAAGTGCTATGTGGCAACTAGTATATGAGCAGGACACAGGATTTAACTAGCTAATTGTAAAGGTTGTCTGACCTTTTACTAGAACTACAGAATGAAGGCAGCTAGCTAGTTCATCAAAAGTTAAGCCCGGGGCCCCTGGGGGGCTCAGTCGGTTAAGCATCTGCCGTCGGCTCAGGTCATGATCCCAGGGTCCTGGGATCGAGCCCTGCATCGGTCTCCCTGCTCAGCAGAGAGCCTGCTTCTCCCTCTCCCTCTGCCGCTCCCTACTCATGCTCTCTCTCTCTCAAATAAATAAATATTAAAAAAAAAAAAAGTTAAGCCCACCCTTGGTTCCAGTCAGACTCCCCCTTCCCTGGGGCCCTCTAGTGAGACGTAACTATCTCGTGGCTGCGTGAATCTGGGTCCCATCTCAAGTTTCTTATTATTCTTGTTCTGATCCCTCCTCCAGATGTTCAGTCATCTGCATTAAGTACTGAGGGCAGGTGTCTTCCCTGCTAAAGAGAAGAGCCTCTCTGTCACCAGCATTAAGTGAAAGCCCTGAGACAAAATGCTCCCCCCTCGGACTGGGAAGCCCAGACAGGAATAGCCGCAGCAAGGGCTGAGCCTTAGGGGGGAGCTCTATTAGTCACATTCCAGGAGCACAGGGTGGGCATTATTCGGAAAGTTGTTAAAAGATACTTCTAGATCCACGATTCTGAAATTGCAGGGGATGTGCTTTCTAAAGCTCAAGCGTGTGAGGCTTCACCAAACTGCGGGTTTATGTGGTTGCAAAACCTTGCCCATTAGGACTTCGATAGTCTACACCACCTGCTATAACCATCGGAAAACCAAAAACGGCTACTGTCAGAAAGTACTGTGCAAATGATTTTGCAGGTAAAAACCTGTGAAGAAGGTAAGTAACTGGGCTAAGAGAAGGTAAACAACCCCCCCAAGTTCAGAGCCTGAGCTGGCCTGCGTGTCCGTCCCTGTCCCATGGTGCGGACCATAGCCCCCTCTGTTCTAGAACCACCAGATACAGAAGTCAGTGGCCCATTTGGATTCCTCTGGCTCAGAAACCAGAGACATTCAGAACCCTGCTTGGTTCTAAGTAGAGGAGTCTTCATATTTATAAAATTACAGGTAGATATTTTTGAGAACAGTTACATGGAAATAACTGGCAGACTACTTAGAAATCATTCTACTCTGTTAATCAAAATAGGATCCCCTCCCCCTAGAAAACACTTAAATTAATTTAAGATGCTACAGATATTTGAAAATTTGGAAACTGGGATTTTAAAAGCTTGTGTCGGAATTCACCTTTAACTCAGACCAGGCTTCTGTACACTGAGATGTGCGTTGCACACTGGGAAAGAGATGTGTGAATGTGAAGGCTTTCTGTCCTGGAGACGGGGTGGGTTTGAGACACTGGGCTCTGTGGGCGCCACAGGACCATGGGAGTGATGCTGCTCTCTAAGCAGGGCTGAAAGGATGAGGGCTAGCCTACAGCCAACGAGAGCCAGTTTCAGTTCTGATTTTGTGGAGTTCTCAACAGTCTTGTTAACTTCTCTAGCTGGGCACATGACTAAGGACTACTGTGAAGATAAAATAAGATGGTAGAATGCCCTGTGGACCTGAGGTGTCATGGTCACCTTCATCGTCCTTGCTCTGGTAGCTCCCCTCCTCCCCAAACCAGTGACAGTAGGACCTTTCTCCTGTGATGTGCCACCACACCCACCAGCTGAGGAAGTTACAGCTTTTCCAAACCAAGGCGGTGGGCACGGACTGACACGTTGTGATCCTCCATTAGTTACTGCTCTGCCCCCGTCATGACCCCCTAAGAACACACCTGGTAAATCATCCTCGTCTTCACTGAAAACATTTGGGTTGAAGACAGGTAAATTAACATAGTCCATGGAAATCTTCCGAACCTCTGGGAGATAGATGGTCATCTGCCGCGGCTGGAGATGCAGGAGGCTGGTTTTATAGATTACTGGAGGGGAGGAGGAAAGCACTGTAAACAGAGACGTGCACGAGGACAGCCAAGGCACCAGCAAGGTCACGGGAAGAGAAATGGGGCTGCGGTGTCCCTGCCATCAGAAGGCAGGGAAGAGTGGGACAGCGGGCCTTTGTCTCCCTCCCGCACACCACTGGCCACCCCAGCCGTGCTTCCCTAATGGCAACTTCTCCATCTAGCGTAATCACTTTGCCAAGTGGTCTGTCTACAGAACCACACATTTCAAACGTCAAAAACCTGTCCTAGACTTAAATGCTTTTCTGGAATGAACTGGGATAGGATAAATATATTTTTTAAAAGCCTCATTTGCGATCAGAATTTTAATTTAGTAAAAACAGTTGTGATAAGCAGAGTGCCAAGCTCAGGGGGATCTCAGGCAACCCAGGACACAGGGGTGACATGGGTCAGGTTGGAATAGAACACTGCCCTTACTCAGGACTGGATTCTTGTCTTCCTGACTTTCAACTTCATGATCAGGACAGAGATTTAGGGAACTTCCACATCATTTCTTTACATGCTAAGGTTTTATATTTGATCAACAGGGACATTTAAGACAATGCCTGGATGGCGACTCAAATACTTGGAGGAGACAAAATTGGTTAAGAACAATGAATCTGAATTTAGGTTTCACGATAGGTTAAAATCAGGATCAACTTTCTTTTGTTTAATGCTCTTTCCTGAGGTAAGTAGAAGTTCTCAAATTATTACTGTTATTCTCATTTTTTGTTAGGCCCAGCTGTGTCTCCACAGCTGTCCCCGCTAGCGCCCGGTGGCTGACCAGCTCGAACTCCCGCGGCCCAGGAGGCCTTCTCTGATGAAATGCCTCTGTAAGGCTGGCGCTTGGGCTGGTGTGGGCTAAGGCGACTTTTCCAATAAGACACAGGCCTTATTTGTGTGTTCGTCTCTTTTGCCCACAAAAGAGAATATGAACTTTGGCTTAAAAATTCGGGACAGTTCTCTACAGCTTAAAAATTAATGCATTAAAGTGCTATTCTTTGTTGTTCAGACTGATAAAAGACATAAAATTTAAAATCTCAGGAGGGATTAAAAAAATAACATCAGTTGCCGCCGGGGGGGGAAAAACTAGGTGGCCAGAGGTGAAGATGAGAGAGAGTTTTACTGTATACCGCTTCAAATCTTTTGAATTTGGAATTTATTCCATATTTTTTAAATTGAGAAAGCAAAAAATCAAAAATAAAATTTCATGGGTCAGATAATTCTAACTGAAGGAAACAAATTATCCAATGTAAAATACATCCAACAATACTCACTTTTAAAATCCATTAGAGTGCCAAAGATTAATAGGGTGCCACATGTAACTTACACATCTAGAATCCAAGAGATAGAATCAAGTGGAAAATTCTCTTAGCTTGACAAATGAATAGTAATAGCTAAAATGCTCTTTTTAAAAAACAGTCCATGATTAGGACAATGATTTCACTACAGTCCTACAGAAAGCTTTTCTCCTGGGCACTTGAATTCCTCACACTGGAGCACCATGTACTTGAGGGCACCTACAGGTTCTCCCGTCTCAAGGTCCTTGTTGACTTATGTGTGGATCAATTCAACATCCAGAAGGAAAAGATGCATTAAGACTCCATTCCTCTTTTCAGTGTGTACTGTGGGCAGATGGCTCAGTTCTCAGCTCATGCATATGGGGTAACATGATACCCACACTGTAGCTACTAGAATCCCCATGCGCATCAGCCACACACGGCTGCATTACTGAAGAACACGCTTTCGTGGTCATCAGAGCCTCTCCAGGTTGCTGAAAATATTATAAGAGATTTCTTTGCATTAAGTGCAGGAACAGCCTATTCTTATTTTCTAAGTCAGTTTTATATTTTACTTGTATTCCTCTTTTTCTTTGAGCTGAGAAACCTCAAAATGAAAAATCCGAATGCAGCACAATTTAATAAGTCTCTTAAGATGGATACATGGCATACGTCTTTTTAACATCTGCTTTGCAAAACTAATTTAATTGAAAGGATCTAACCATGTCTTAAACAACTCCAATAGGCAGATTCAGAATTTTTCAAGAACCATTTTTAGTAGGTTACGCAGAGATGTTCAAGATGGGACCACCACCCACAGGCAAGCCCGGCCTTCCAGAGAGGTGTGCGTGCCAAATGATGAGGCAATCCAGCAAGGCTGAGGGGACAGCACGTGTCCGCAGCCCACCCAGGGATGTGCCTACTGGCAGGAAGCTGCTTTGAAAAGGACCTTCTGTCATTTCATTCCTTCACTGTCCCCAAGTAAACATGACACATTACTACTACTCACTCGAGCAGGAGTACCGAAAAAATGCAAATGCCGGGTACTAGCCCAGCTTTTACTCCCTTGGTTTTGTTTTCCTCAGTGTCTCAAACTTCGCACGGAGAGGGTATTTATCTGGGACTTCTAGGTGAAATCCATAAGGATTTACCACATGGAACTGTACTAACAGTCAGCTTCTTGCAGTCTTTAACCCTTTCTGAACCTCAATTTTCTTCTGACTCAAGAACCTAAATATACTGGTACCAAAACCTGCCCACAGTGAAAGGCCAGAAATCACAATAACCAGAAACCTGTCAAATCTCTGTTAGAAGATTGTAGCTGGTTCTGTCTTTTCATAAATCAGGACTTATACAAAAAAAGTGAAGGCACTGCCCGCAAAAAACCAATTTGAGTAATAATTCTAATTTTTGTAAAATCACAGTGGATAGAATCAAAGTTTAGAGGTAAATAAAGTACATGCTAATCTTCTGGTGCCGTAAGAGCTCATTTGAATTGTCTTTTTAGTCTCAGTTTCGGGCAGACTCAGAATTGTCTTTTTAGTCTCAGAGAGCGGGCAGAGAAGAGGACATGGTTTTTACCTGCACCGAGGTTGGTTGGCAGGAAAGCAGCCAAGCCCACAATCTTAAACTTGGTTCCCCAGATATTAGACGTGACCTGAGCAAGATAGTTGTGCTGTGGGGGGAAAAAAAAAGGAAAAAAAAAATCACCATCTATTTTCGTATTTTCTATTGATCACTTAGGAACTAAGAATGTTAACATTTTTGCTTAAAAAGGTCACAGGTGGGCACTGCTGGAAATACTCATTCTCTGTATCATTCTACCCTTTTTAAGACCAGAAGCTAACGAGAACATGTCAGGCACGTGTTTCTGAACGGTGGCTCACCGAGCTGAGATTTGCAGGCGGGGGGTAAGGGGCAGATGTGTCCCAGTGTGTCCACACGTGCATAGGTTAAAAAGGCCACAGAGGTGCTCTGGGCACGCTTTTCTCTCCCTCTCCTTTCCCTCTAGTCACTGACCTAGAGAGGGTATACCTAGCTCTGAATCCATTTTTATCCTCGATATTCCTCCTGGAAACACCAGCTGCACTGATGCCAGGATGTCCCCAAACGACCTAATTATCTGTTTCCTCATTCAACTAAAAAAATTTTTAAAAAATGATCAGTATGCTTAAGCCACGTGTGTGTATGTGTGTGAACAGCAATAATAAAGATGAATTAAATGCGGCTTCCTCAAAGAGCTTATAACCCAATGGAGGATACAGGCTTACAATTATTTGCAGACAAGGAAGTCACTGAGGAATGTGATAAGGGAGTTACAAACAAGATGCTTTGGGATTGCTGTGGCTGAGCCGGGGAAGGAAGCCTTCGTGACGAGTTCTATCTGGAAGCAAAAAGGCGGGGGCGGGGGGGGCAGGCGACCCTGGTGACCCAGACGCAACAAAGGCACAAACGCAGAAGGAAGCCAGTCAACAGTGAGGCTATGGAACTTGGAGGGCACTGAGGGGGACCAGGAGAGAGAGACAGGCAGCGCCAGATTGTGGGGCTGCCACCAGGGCCTGGCTCCCGTGGACACCAAAAGTCCACACGTGGCTTGAGGGAGCAGAGGGGAGAAGTGTGGACAGGTCTCAAGCTGTGAAAAGACTCATGTGGCAACAGGGGGGTGTCTGAGGTGGGATGGAGGTCCTGGGGCCTCCCTGAGGGCAGGGGTGGTGAGGAAGGCAAACAGGGCTCTGGTTCTCCATGCCCCATGTCTGGAACAGCAGGGATAGGCACGGAGACTGGGGTGGCAAGTGCAGGGGTGATGTGCCCAGGACTCAGGCCCCGTCAGGCACACACTGAGGAGGGAAGACGCGCAGGGGAGCATCAGAAACACGGGCCAGCCCTGGACCCCAGGTGCTACCTGAGTGATGTCTTCAAAGGGAAACTCTCTTCGCGTCAGACTGGGCGAGCCAATGGAGGGCTTGCGCATCGGCAACCGGGGAGACCTGGACATCTCCTGAGCAGCCCGGGACAGCTTGGGAGACTTCCGGGCCTCAATGTTGATCCTGTGGAGACAAGGCCAGGAGGGTCAGGCCCCACATGTGGGAGAGGCTCCCACTGCCGTGTGGCCCTCGCCTTCGCGCTCTGGTGGCCACCAGGGGTGCCACATTCCCAGGGGCCAGGCCTCTTTACCCAAGCCTCTCCCGTCTGCTCTTGCCTTGTGAATATGAAGAAAGAAGAACAGAATTGCATATCGAGTAATATATATTTAAAAATATGGTAAGATCAGGGGCATCTGGGTGGCTCAGTCGTTAAGCGTCTGCCTTCAGCTCAGTTCATGATCTCAGGGTCCTGGGATCGAGTTTCACATCAGGCTCCCTGCTCCGCGGGGAGCCTGCTTCTCCCTCTCCCACTCCCCCTCTCAATTAAATAAATAAAATCTCAAAAAAATATGGTGAGATTAGACAAAGTGATTCATTTGTAAGGAACCTCAGAGAATTAAATGTGGTTCACTTTCTATGGACTAATAGTTAAGTTTAGAAACATCCACACGCCTTCTGCATGTGGGAAACTAGCAGGTGGGAAGAGCCATTTTTCACCTTAAGGCCACAGTGATTTTACAATTCCTACTACAATGTTAGGATTTCAACAGATTTATCTAGCCTTTCACCAGCGATCATATTTAAATCAAATCTGTGGGTCTACAGTTTTCCTGCTGCCTTCTGATCCTACATTCGATCTCTGGTCTTCAGTTCTGTTTGTAACGCAGGGACACATGTGTTAATGCCAGTCTACCCCCCAGAGAGTGCTGTTAAGGTCAATGGCAGTCCATGAAGAGGAAAGCCCTGAGCCTCACAGATACTGATTGAGAGCTTGATACGATAGCGAGGGCTCCGAAAGTTTGGGTGGACAGGGGGCCCGAGCTGGTGAAAACTCTGTACGAGGACAATTAGTCCGGCTGTGGCACGCAAGAGGATCCAACACAGGGAAAGACAGAAGGAATGAGGACCAGCTGCAGAGACTGCCACATCCAGGAACTTTAAAAGGACATTTACAGGTGCAAGATTTGGTTGCTTATGTGTTAAATGTTCTCCCTTAATTAATGGCAAAAGCTGAAACACTGCAGAAGTGTAAGAAAGTTCATAATTTTATTTGAGATTTTAACAAGCTTAGAATAAAGATGAAAAAAATCAATCAAATTGCTTGAGCAACTGGTTATCTACATGGGAAAAACTCACACCATGCACAAAAATGAATCTGAGATTCAAGTATGAAAGCTAAAACTACAAAGTTTCTGGAAAGAACAAAAGAATGTCTTTATGACCTAAGGGTAGACAAAGATTTCCTAAACAGGACACAAAAAGCACTAATCATAAAAGAAGAAATTCATATTGCGTTAGGCCACCACATACGTGGCACTCCGGATCTCTGCCAAAGACTCATAGCTAGAATACATAAAGACTCTTAAAACTTGATGAAAGAAAAACAACTCAATAAAAAACGGGCAAAAGACTTAACAGACACTTCACAAAAGAAGAGCTCCAAATGGCCACTAAGCATATGAAAAACTGGTTAGCAGCAATAATCACTAGACACGCTGATGCCATGACATGCCCACCAGAATGGATAAAGAGTATCTTCTAACAATGACACTGCAACCGTGGGCGAGAACAGAAGCCTCACACGCCGCTGGAGGGAACTCAGAACAGCACGGGCACCCTGGAATACTGGGTGGAATACGTTTATTGGCAGTTTCCGATAAACGTGTGCCAGGACCCGGCAACTCCCCTCCTAAGTGTATACCCGAGATTAATGAGTGCAGGTGTCCATAAAAAGTCTTGTATAAGAATGTCTACAATGGTTTGATTTGTAATAGCCCCGAACTGGAAACTACCAAAGATCAAGCAATTGGTAAAAGGAATAAACAAATTGTAGTATATCCATTCCAATGGAAACCACAGAGCAAAAAAGAAAAACCACTGATACACACCACACGAATGAATCTCAGTCATTATGTTGAGCAAAAAAAAAGTCAAATAAAAAAGGAGTATATACTGTTTGATGCCATTCATATGAAATTCAAGAACAAGTCAAACTCCTCTGTGGTGACGGAAGTCAGAACAGTGATTCCTCTGGAGAAGGGACATGAGGAACTTTTCAGGAGGATGGAAATGTTACCTTCAACTGGGTGGTAAATATTCTGCTTTATCAACTGTGCAGGAAATTATGTCTTTGAGATCTGGGCAGATATGTATCTGTACATAAATTATATCTTAATTTTGCACAGCATCACAGAATTTTAGAGCTAAAGACAGCTTAGTCAAGATCTGGCCCACCCTTTACCTTCAACAGATAAGGACACTGGCATCTGGGTCACGGGTTCATTCAAGGTTATACCCCGAGGTCATACGGCCTTTGGGAGTGGAGCCAGGATCAGTGGGGACTCTCACCTAGGACACAAAGGCCCTTCTATCTACTCTTAGCTTTTTGCCACTCTTTAGGACAAACCTTTGGCATGTGAGATTTTTTTAGTTTATGATTTATTTCCAATTACAGCGTTAGAAGGTATTTAAACGGCATTCTGTTCAATGCATTATGTTACACTCATCGTAAACCCTTCTCCTTACTTTTCTGGACTGGAAGAACCACCAAGTGGGCCAGGGAGCTTCTGCCACCCCATGCTGCCCATTGTCAATACTAACCCTGAGTTCTGAGGACTTAGCAAACTTCCCATGGGTGGATTTGTCTACCCAAAGGGGAGAAGAAAGGAAAGCTCTAATTACTGCTGGCAGACCTTCCTGATGAAAGGCAGGGAAGCCCTCTTGCGGGGCTCTTCTGGTGTCGGCTTCAGTGAGGTTCTGCTGCAGACACAAACAAGGACGACCAGCCCTGGGGAGTGAGCTTACCTTGGGAGTTTGGGTGACTTGCTAGCGCGGGAGATTTTGGGGGATTTCTTGGCAGCCCAGTCGTCACTCAGTTCCACGTCACTGGAGTCCGAGCAGTTGCAGCTGTCCAGCATGGAGGAGATCAAGCTGTTTCCGTAGATTTCATCTGGTGAGACACAACCAGGAGACTCTGGAAAGTGCTATCAGTAAGACCCTAATGAGGATCATTAGCCCTGGAAACTACAGGACAGACTGACTCTATAGGCCAGCATTTTAAGTTCAGAGGTTGAAAGAGAAAGGACCAGAGCATGGTTTCCCTTTTACGTTTTTATGCTGTAACAATTTTCTAAGCAAAAGGAGGCAATAACTTCTGTTATCGGAGTGGGCATAGAATTTCAGTGTCTCTGGAATGTACAAAATAGTCTAGCAGTGTTTACTGCGCAAAAAGCGGGAACCTCCCAGCACAACCATCCATCTGGGTTCATACAGGTTTGCAGGCAACTGGGGGACCCAGGCTGAGCAAGGGGCTTGCTGACTCACGGACCCCCCGCAAGATCCTGTTTCTGACCTGGGGCCTGCCAAGGCCCCTGCTGGTTCCAGGCCTGCTCTGGACTAGAAACCTGACAAGGTCAGGTCCACTGCAGGGACTCCCAGACGTTTACGCTGGCCTGCTCTGAGAGGTGGCTGGAAGGCAGGCCTGTGCAGGAGGCCTGTCCGTGGCAGCCCTGGGCTCTGCTGGGGGTGTTTGTACAGAAGCCGCTCGAGCTTCACCATTGGTCACTGGGCAGAAGGTCAGAGGTCCTACGGCAGAAGACGGTGCGCACAGAGGTTGGGCCATCACGAAACTGCACAGCGGATGAAGGTCATGTCTGACACCTTCCTTGAAATCCCTTCTCCTTTACTGCCTTCCTCCCACCCCCCACATCCCTTCACTCCCCGAACCCTGCTCTGCCCTCACTGTAGGTAGCCCATCTGCAAAACCACTTTGTTTTGCTGACAAAAGCTTCATTCCCTCAAGGCTCCAAGAACCTCACCAGGTTATAAAAAAGCCCAATTGTCCAACGGCAATGAAATCATTTATGGAATTTGAGGGGACTTTATCATTCAAAAGGGCGATTTACATTTGAAAGGATGAATTTGCTAAGATAAACTCATCTCTAGTGTTTCTGAACATATGGAAGGGACATCTGTGAACAGGGACCTGTCTGAGGGCCCTGGAGGCAGAAACAGCTCGCCACACTCCCTGGAAGCAGGCTGTCTGAGACCCACGTCACCCTCTTCTTAAACGACTTCCCCATCAGAAGGCACGACCCATGAGGACAGCAAGCTGGGGTGGTGTGCACCTGCGTTTGATCAAATAAAAACGCTTACTTCACATGCCCTGAGCAGTGCTTTACATTACTTGAGGAGTCACTTAGTCCAAAGACGCTTGGCCATGAGTCACGCAAGCATGTAATTTGCACAGGAAGCTTCTGTGTGCTCGTGAACACGAAGCCAGCTCACCGGCCTGAGGAAACGCAGTAACGTGCTGTCCACTCAGCTCCTGATCTGCCTGCTCATCCAGGATTTTTCACAGTTGCTGTATGTCATGCCATTTGTTGTTGTCCTTGACTCATGCTCTAACACTACGCCACAGATTGGGCGGCTTATGGACAACAGAAATTTCTGTCTCCATTCTGGAGGCTGAAGTCTGGAATCAGGGTGCAGGTGTGATCATGTTCTGGTGAGGACGCTCTTCCCGGCCTGCAGTCGGCCACCCTCTTGCTGTGTGCTCGCTGGGTCTTGCCTTAGCATGTGTGTGTACATGTGGAGAGACAGAGCCCTCCCTCTTTTCTTGCACGGCCACCAATTCGACTGGGTTAAGACTCTACCCTGACAGCCTCATTTCACCCAAATCACTCCCTAAAAGCCCTATCTCCAAATACAGTAACACAGGAGGTAAGGGCTTCAGCGTAGGAATTTCTAGGGGGACACACACAACTCCACCCACAGTAAGTTCTGACTAAAGATGCCTTTTAAAAATTGGTGGATTTTTGCTTAAAAAAAATATGCTCTCATGTATGCTCTCAATTATAAACATACACATCCTGAGGCGTGTGTCTGTTCAGCTGCATGGAGAACACTTATGACAGTGGGTCACAGGCTTCGAAGCCCAACTGCCAGCCGGGCAGCGGCAGGTGCACACGTGGAGGCCTCGCCCCAGACCCACCGAATGAGGCTAAAGGGCAGGCCTGGCAGCCTGTATTTAGATAAATACCCCAGGGGATCTGCAGGGAGGTGGCCCCGGGACCACATTCTGAGAAGCACGGATGTGCAGGCTTCGAAGAGTTAATCAGCTCACGAGAAGTTCCCGGCTCCCCGAAGTCAGAAGTCAGCGCTCCTGCTCTGAACTGCGTCCGTATACCACCCGCTTGGCAATTACTCATGTTCTGCCTCGTGACACAGCTTCTGCGTCTATCTTGAGGTATTAAAATCTTGACATTCTTACTGAACTTTTCGAGTGTTGTCTTGTCACCCAAAAGAGGTTTCTGAACCCCCTGGAAGCAGAGACACCCGGACATTGCCCCACGACCACGGGAGACCCAACGATCGTGGACAAAGGGAGCACTGAATACATACTGTGCATCTGCTTTGCTTTATAACGTTCTGATTCTTTTAATTACAAAAATAAGACATCTTATTCCCCAGAGGACTGCCAGCAGTCGAGTCCACCCGCGTTTGCCGTGAGCTGGACGCGAACAGTAAGCAGGAGCAGAAGCCCCCAGCCAGCACGGGGTTTGGGAGGTTGAGGCCTCAGTGGCCCTCGGCAGCCCCGCCTGCGTCTTCTGTCCTGTTTTTAGTGCGGAATTTACACACTTGGGACAGAAGCAAGCTCTTCACGTCCGTTCCCTTCAACATGCAATCTGAGGAGAGGTTTTATGAACTTGTACACATGGTGGGGAGCCTCAGACACAACGACCTCCGTCCATGAGAAGACTGCCGTGCCCCACGTGCCCTTGGGCAGCACTGATCAGCAGCGGCTCTTCTCCCTTCCCTTCGAGGTCAGTGCCCACTGCGCCCTCCTGTTCTCCTCGCTTTGCCTGCCTTCCTTCTCAATCTTCTCTCTCCCTCCGTTCTACCCACCTCCCTACCAGCCTGCAGTTCTGCTCACTGTCCCTGCTTTTGGTACTAGCTCATTGCATGACTCAAAAGACAAACAAATGGACTAATATCCAACATGTTAAAGCACAGTTTTACTGCCTTCAGTTTTACACGGTGACCCTGACAGCAGAATGCCACCACGGTCGCTGAACCAACAACGCAGACCAGACAGAGGTGGGGGAGCGGCACGGAGTGAGCCGAGTGAGCGAGCACGCCAGGCCGGAAAGACAGCAGGAGCGGGGGAGTGGAGAGCGGTAGGCTCCCGTGACACAAATCCCTTTCGAGGTCAGGCGCGTGCCAGGCCCTGGGGTGGAGAGAGGAGGTCGTTCCCTCCGCCCAGGCCTCAGACGGAGCTGGGCCCAACAACCACCACGGGCCCCGCAGAACTCCAGCAGCCCGACTGACAGGTGGCCAGCACAGGAGGCCGGTGACGAGGAGGATTTCAC